TGCTCTGCTCCCCCCAGGGACTGGGACAGATTTCTTGATTGTCCCTGAGGCAGCAGGCACAGGGTGGGGTCCTCCTCCCTTGGGACGTGGCAGTGCGGGCTGTACCTCTGCAGGGTCACCTACACAGGCACAAGAGATAGTACAGTTTGTTAGGAAGACCCATGGCTGAGGAGTCAGGAGACCTGGATGCTCCCATCCAGGTCACTCCCTTTCTGCACCTCTGTTTTCCCATCTGTACAATGGGGACTTGGCAATGCTTGGGACAATTCCATCCTTTGGTGACTGGCTAGAGACACAGGTCAGTCAACAGCCATGTTACTGAGCAAGTGGCTCACATGGGAGACCAACCAGTGACATCTAGGCTCTGCTGGGTTTCACAAAGCCATCCCATGGTTCAGGGCGCTGGACTCAGCGTTGGGCGAGGCGTCTGCTCTGAACTCTAGGCGTCTGATGAAAGCTGGTGGGGGCAGGGCAGCAGCTGGATTTTCCCACGGGGGCTAAAGATTTCCTAGGGGACCTTTCAGGATCATCACTGATGGGGGCAGGGGGATGTTTGTGATAGCAAGTCTTCATAACTCCCTGTCTCTCTTCCCCTTCCTAAAGTACAGGATTAACTGACAAATGGGTGCGTTCTTTTTGCTGAAGCACGCTTTGCTGTAAGGACGGTGGGGGAATTCGAGTCCGGAAGAGCTCGACAGAGCCAAATCCACTTGCTTCAGAAAAAGGAGCTGGAAAAGGGACAAGAGAGGGCTGGCTAGAGAGAGGGTCCATGGGGAGGTGTGGAGAGGGAACGGCTCTGCGCGCAATTTGGGGCGAGGTATTTTTTGACTGAGAGGCATGGAGAGAGGTAGCTCAGTGAAGGCCCTTGAAGGAACAACTCAGCATTTCTGTGCCTCAGTTTCTTCATCTGAAAGGTCTGGACAATAAAACCTTTTCCCTAAAGGAAAGCACTTAGAATCATGCCTGGCACGTAATAAGGACCATAGAGTTGCGTACAGCGATGATGGTGGTGGTAATGTAAAAACCCTTGAAATCTCCAGGAGAGTGGATGTCACTCAGGGGTGGACTGAGCAAGTGGCTCTCCTGGGACCCGGCGGAGACAGCCAACCACCCACCCCCCATCGTTTGCCCCCCTACATCTGGTAACATCCGTGCAGCCGAGAGTGCTCACGGCAGGCGGGGCTGTCCCCAGAGCTGCGCCGCATCACCAGGGACTCCCCCAGAGCCTGCAGCGCCGAGAGCCAGGGCCATCAGGGCCCGAGGGTGCGGGGCATCTGCCCTCCATGTGGCTAAACCATCCCAGAATTGCCGTGGGCTGAACTTCGTCACCAGCCTGCTTCTCATAAGGACATTTCCTCCTGCCAGGAGGCGCAGGCTTCCCAGCAGGGCTGGCCCCTCTAACAAGCTGTACTGGGGGGGGGGAATATTTTCAGATTCTGGGTGACATTCCCCTGCCCCTCAGCCTAATAGGTCCCAGGTGCTCCCCTCCACCTCACCCTGGCCGCTATTCTGTAAGACTGCGAGCTGGCCTGCGGGGCTGCTGGGGCCCCCTCGCCCAGCCATCGCACCTCTTGGCTTTTTTTGTGCCCCCTTAACATAATGGCTTGACAGAGGCCAGCATCAAGGAGGCTGTTTCCTCCTGGGTAGGGACCAGGACAGAGAAGCCAGCACATAAAGGTGGAGAGAAGGAAGCCGGCTTTGGGAACCTGAGGAGCGAGGGGAAACATAAGGAGTCTTTATTGGCCAAGCATAAAAGAAGCAACTGAAGTAGCAGCTGTGTTAGCGCAGCCAGGTCGCCAGGGGTTGGGCAGACTCACCAGGCCCAGCTGGGAACCCCACAGGCCCCGGGGGTTCATGACTCATGTTCTGCAGAAATGCCTTCAAGTTCACTATCTTTCCATGGATGCTTTTCTCTACCTTCCCTTCCCACCCATCCTCCTGCCCCCTTTTGCGGAGGATTTGAATTTGTAATTCTTGGCCACTGTCAGTAATGAGATAGGGCTATTGCTGAGGCCTGTGGGAGGGAGGGAGGCGAGTGGGCACAACTAGGAGAAAGGAGAAGGGAAGGGGAGGGGAAGGGAAGGGAAAGGACAGAGGTGTGGCGGGTGGGTGGGGCCAGAGCACAGAGGTGGGTGGTGAGAGAAAGGTAGGGGGCAGCAGAGCCGGGAGGGCAGAAAAGCAGCGTCTGACTCACATCGTAACAGAAACTAGGACAGGCCGATAGACATCAGGCAGGGAACCGAATGAGAAGCCTCCTTCCGCCCCTGCTGCTTCCCGCTGGTTTTCCGTTGCATTTCGTGGGAGCGTGGAGAGGAGCACAAGTGAGCTCATAATTGTAATTGCTTTAGGTTCCCTTATGCTTTTGACCTTTTGCCATGAATGGGCCTTGGTGCCCGCCGCCCCTCGTCCCACCAAGCAGCTACGTCCCCGAGCTCGGGCACATCCCGAGGAGCCCATTTTGTGGGGCGGGAAGCTGAGGCTTGGAAGGGGTTGTTCGGGAAGTCAGGGTCCCAGCAGGGCTGCACCTGGGGCCCAGACCTCTGGACTCCTCATCCAACAACGAAAATTTGGAGATGAAATAAAGGGAGAAGAGATTATATTGGTGAAAGTGGGCCAGGAAAATACAAACTTTGAAGACCAGATGGAAACCCCTCCGCCGAAGAATTCTTGGACGCTGCTTCTGAGGCAGCCCTCCCCATACTTTCACCAGCGACACTGACCCTGGCATTTTCTCTCTTTTCCAGGACCTCCTGTAAGTAACTCCAGCTGCAGCCTGGTCTCACACGTCTGAAAGGCCTTGCTCCCTGCTGGTAACTGGGCCTGGGAGGGGGGGACTGCCCGCTGTCTTCCCGAGGAGCCCCTGCGCCCTCCAGAGCCTGCAGGGTCCCTCCGGATCGTCAGCACGGGGACACAGACTGCCATTTTTCTTTCCATGCCCCTCTGCACCCCTCCAGGGCCAGACGATGGCTGCCCCCAAAGCAGGTCCCAGTTTCAATCTGAAAGGCTGGCATGCTCCATTGTTAGTCCTGCTCCTTTGTCCCCCAAAGAACTGGAGTCAAAGGAGCACCAGGTATTAAAAAGAAGAAAGAGACCATCTGGACTCAGGTTTGGTCCTTGGAAAACCTCCTGCCCATTCAGCAAACGGGTCAGTGAGCAGCTGTAGGTGTGGACTAGTCCTGAGGACGAGATGCCCACATGGCTGTGTGGGCAGCTCCATTCTAGCCAAGTCACTTCGGGCAGGTGATGGTGGTGGTGATTGTTCTTGTTGTTACTGTTGTCATTAAGACAACGGTGTCAGCTTGTTCGATTAGGAGACCACACAAACTATAGGCAGCACTCCAGGCTCCTTCCACTGGCCTCGCCCTAAGGCCCGGGGCGGGGCGGAGAGCCCAGTCATCACTAGAGAACCTGAGAAGCGTTCAGGGAGACTGGCCCCAGAAGTAATAGATCCAGAGAACAGGAGCGTCTCTTCTTGAGGACAGCATTTGATATCCCAACAAAAGACCCAGAGGTCGCAGGGGCAGCTGCAGACTGAAGTTGAAAGGGCCCAGCCCTCGGCATCAGATCTTTCTCAAGGTTGCTGAAAGCAGCCGGGTTTCATCCCCGCCCTGAGAAGGAAGTCCCATAGCTTTTCCCTGCTTGCCCCGTATCTGCAAGAGCAGTCCACTCAGTCTGCAATAAGACGCTATTTGCTCTTCCCCGTGGGTCCTGACCGGCGCGTTGAGCTGGCTGGGCCGCCGGTGCTGCCCCGCTCCCTGCCTGCTGAGTTACAGGGAGGGAGGAAACTCCTTGAAAAAAAGGAGGGTGATTTATCACGGCACGTCTTGGATGTCAGATCTCAATTCCTGTCATCAATCTTCCAAAATAAACTCCACCGTAGGAAACTTCAACAGACCACCTGCTGCAAACGGGCTGGTTTTTCCTTCTTTTTTGACAAAGCCAAAAAGAGTCCTCACCTCCCCGCCACACGTCTCCCCACAGCCAGGCTGCCGGGCCACGCCAGCAGCTCAGCTCTGGGTCCCTGGGGCATCCTGAGAGCTTCTACTGGCCTTGCCTTGGGACTGTTCCCGGCCAGAGAGGGCGCTGCCGCTCCTGTGGGCTCTGCAGTGCAGGCGCAGATGAGAGGGGTTGCATCTAAGCCTCTCCTTACAATCCCTGCCCACCTGGCCGCCACCAGAGTCAGCAAGTGACGGGGAGGGGCCCAAGTAGCTCTCCCACATCCTCGGTCTGACACAGAAGAGTCCCGAACCTTTTAACTGTGGCAGAAACCACAAGGCAGGAGGAGGAGAAAATGGGAAACTGACCATGTTGGGAATCACCCCCTAGCCCTGTTCTCTCTGCTTCTGCAAAGAACGAATGCCGTTGGCCCGAGGTGAGGGATAGGGAGATGGCAGCTTGTTGCAATGCCTGTCTGCTGCCCTCTGGTTGTATCTTGGGAGCCTCTCTTGGGGTGACTCTGTCCTCCAGTTGGAAGAGCCAGGCCCCTGTGAGCACAAGGACTGCTGGTACCCAGAAAACACAGCCATGGAGGGTGGCTTTAAGTAGCAGCAAGAATCACTTAAATGGTACGAAACCTATGGCCACCACTGCCCAACTCCTCTCGCCCATGGCAGACATTGCTAATCAATTCGGAGGCTTTTTAACATAGTTCTTTAGGTAGTCCATTGGGGCCCACACTCGTGCTGACATGTGTTGGCCATGCCTGTGCTAGATTTTAGAGAGCATTTCTTAATCATGGAAACTGTGAGGTTGGAACAGATGACTAAGGGAGTGGGGACATCTTTTTCTCTGGAACAATATATGGAAATACATGATGTCCAGCTGTCAGCACCGATTGAATGTGACCCTTGAACATGATCAAGGCCCTCCCTTCTCTGCGTTCGTAAAATAACGGAGCAGCACACACAGGTCACACCGCTGGCCGGGTGGTGTGGCACCATCGGGGATCACAGTGCTCGCACCTCTGTAAACGTCCCTCTCCCTCTTCCCTTCAGGGTCCTATGGGAAGACCTGGCCTCCCGGTAAGTACATTTTATTTCTTCCTCCTTCCAAATCTCTCTCACATGCTCATTCTCAGTCCAAGGACTGGCGAGTTTGGGTGGCTGCGTTCCTCCAGATGTACCTGGGCGAGAGGCTTCTGTCCAGCCTCTCTAACCCACAGCTGAAGGGCAGGCCCCTTCAACACTGGACCTGACCTCAGACAGATGGCTCTGTAATGGAGGCCTGGAAGGGGTGTCCTCCTGCGCACTAACCCAGATTAAGACCGCTGCCTCTGCTTTCCCCTCTGCCCTCCGGTGAGAACAAACTCAAAAACTTTTGTTTGCCCCCCAGTTACCATTTCTGAAAGCTAGAGAGGCCATGCCAAGTGACCACGAGGGCTTTGGAATAAAAGTGGAAATAATAGTGATAGCCATCTCTCGTTGAGACCTCAATCCGTGCCAGGCACTATGCCAATCACTCTTCATACATTTGATTTGTTCAATGACTCAGTGAAATGGGTCATCATCATGTCTATTTTATGGATGAGGAAACCGAGACCCAGAGAGGTAAAAATACCTCTTCCAATCGTCCAAGCTTCCGTTGTAAACCTCTTGGAAGCCCATGTTACCACACCCCATTCCGTACTGCTGTGTCCTGTGGGCCACGCTCCAAGTCAGAGAACCATCTTTAAAGTCTTTGAAGACATTGGTTGCTCTGTGAGGCAGAGCCTGGGGCAAATATGCATTGAGTGCTGGATGCTGTGGGCCGGTGGGTGGGGAGGGACTCGGGCAGGAACGCCGCAGCCTGCCAGAGGGCCGAGGTGTGGCGTGGCGTGCCATCCAGGACTGGCACCAGAGGGTCTTCTCTCCCTGCGCCGGAGACCATGTCCTGTGAATCACACACCCTTTACACTTCCCTCTTACCCCAGATACCCCTTTTGACATGCATTATACTATAACCTCGTGACTAATCCAACAGCTTCTAGAATTCACGTCCAGCAGTGACTTTCTTAATGAAATGCATGTGGGAGAATATTTAGCCTTGAAAATGGAAATTGCTCCCAGTAAGTCCAAGCCCTAAAGCAGAGGAGGAAGGGTGAGTGGGTCCCATGAAACCCAAGGAGGGAAAAAATCAGATGACTGGGGGGAACGTGGGCAGACTTTCTACTTTTCTGAAGACATCCACCTTTAAAAAGCATCTGGGGGCAAGTCACAGAGCAGGGGCTGCTGCACATACTTTCCAGTTTCTGGCCGTTCCACGCCCGTCCCAAACCTGAGCATTTTATGGCCAGGACTGCAAAGAACATTAGTTTTTCAAATGAAACGAGAAGAAACCCAAACACCCATCCTGCAATATCATTCAAAAGCCCAGGAGCGAGTGGGCCGTGGGGATGTCACACCCGACGTTCAGTGGGCCTGGTGTCCCACAGCAGCAAGGGCAACTGATCCACAGGCCACGGTCCCTGCGCACACACTTCAGCATGAGGGGACCTGGGAGGGACCCGAGAAGGAGTTGCTGATGCCGGCCCTTGTTGCAAAATACCAAGTATTTTGTACAAACACGCTTACAGAATTCACTTGCCCGCTGGGCTTGCTACCCGTAGATGCTGTTTGGACAACACTCCCCAGGAGGCAGGCACTGGGAATAAGCGCTCCAGAGACCACGCCTCACGGCAGCCTCCCCGCAGCCCCACAACAGAGGTGCAGATGCTCAGGAAGGTTAAGGAAATACCCAGGCTTATAACCAATGCTGCTACCCTGCCACACAGTCAAGAACGTTTTACTGAAGATACCCTTGGCCTTGACAAAGTGCACGTCACAAGAGCCTAATTTCAGAGCCAGTTACTACTTGCTGGTGCATCCACATACATCTTGGGATGCTCATTGTCCCTCAATACATTGTGCCTCAGTGGGGTCAGCAGGCACAGAATTACCCCAGAAATGCCCACAGCCTTCAGGGGAATCCGCTCGCCCAGCTCTCACCTGCCCAGCAGGACAAACACCATCTCATTTTCAGCCCCCACTGCTTTCCAGCCCTCCAGGCTCCCAGCAAACCAGGCCCACCCCAGAATTTATGATGTCTGCACATGTATAATTGCAAAAAAATATTTTCTACCAAGAGGGGAGGAACAAAACTTAATAAGCGGATTTCCAGAGTGAGAAGATGTAACCCCTGGCTACAAAACAAAGCTTTCCCTCTGAGCAGCTGAAACTCGTGATGCGGCCGCATCCACATGGCTCACGGTCCTTCCTGCTGGCACTGGGGGTGGCGTGAGGAAGGCGGTATGGACGGGCTCTGTCTGTGGCCTCCTCAGCCAGGGAGCGTGGGTACTGCTCCCCGGCTCCAGCGAAGACAGACTTAGGGAAGCGATTCACCTGTCGCACGGGAGCTGCCCCTCACCCCGCTCTGTGCCTTGGAGTTGAGCAAGGTGACAAGGATGGGGTACATTCTGCTGTGGCTGGAATGGATCGCAACAACAGAAGTCTGAGGGAGGAAGAGCCTGGGACCCATTACAGAACCCATAGGGAAACTGAGGCCCCGGCCGGGGGCCACACTCCCATATTAGTGTTCTTACCGCAGCACCGTGCCCAAGTACAGATGGCAATAAGGGTGGCTGCCTGCCAGGCAGTCTGTGAGGCTGAACGGGCAAGTTCACTCACACGATGCCTGGGCATCGGCCCAACTGCCTGTGCAAGACAGGTCTTGGGTGCACAGCCAGCCCACGGGACCCTTCCCATGCTGGCCCCGCTCCAGCCACATCTAATTGTCTCTGCCTCCTTCATTAGGGGGACAAAGGTGCCATTGGGATGCCTGGACGTGTGGTGAGTTGGCGCATTTTTCCCTGCTTGGGTGGCCATTGCTTGCTTCTCCATGCTAACTTGTCCTCCAAACCATGGCAAGGTGTTGCCCACCCCCACCAGGGAAAGGGGGGAAAAGGGGGACTTGGCCCTCCCTCTTCCCTCGCTGAAGTCAGCTTCAGAGAGGCACAGGCCAGGGGAAGAGATGTTTTATTTCAACCCTTCAGATCTTGCCATATGGCTTTACCCTCCAGAGAGCTGCCATGGCAAAGGAAAAATCCAAGAAAAAGCATGAATAAAGCTCTTTGCCAGTCACCTACTGGGAGGGCAGGGCGAGGCCTGAATTCCTCTTGACACTGAGAGGACTCGCACCCACTCCATCCCCGAGGCTGGCTGCTCACCATCAGAGTGATAGCTGCCCCCACAGCCGCCCCACTCGCCCCCAGGCCCCCCCCACCCCCCGACACCACAGCAAGAGCAGCAAAAGGTGGTGAGAACAGCAGCCTCCAACGCCCTGCAGAAACTGGCGGAGCCAGCTTCTGGGGGCACCGTCCCGAGACAGAAACCAGAAGATGGGGAAGGCGGGGTTTGCCCCAGGTAGTGCTCTCAGGTCCTCACCAGGATGCTGGGAGGTCAAACACTGAACATCTCCTGCTGAAAAATTAAGATGGTGAGAGGGGAACAGGACTGTTGGGCAGGGCGAGGATAACTCAGGGATGGGAAGGCCGACCCTGGGCCTGGAGGCCCGAGTGCTAGGGACTGTCCTGGTGGCTCCCGGGCTCTGAGGGGCTGGAAAGGGCAGGAGAGACACAGGCTGGCAGCCTAAGGCAGTGATGGCCGCATGCCAGCCCCACCACCACCGCCCTGTCTGACCCCTAACTCCCCACCTGCCCTCGGCCTCGACCTCTGCCCTGGCTCCCAGGTGCCCCCGGCGACCCCATGCCATCCTTTCATGTCACTCACATGCTTTTCCTCATAACTTCACCTCCTGGGCTGCTTGGCTTTAGGCCCGGGTACAGCATCCATGTGTGAGTTTGCTTGCACGTGTGAGCCTGGTGTCAGAGAAAAGGCATCCGGACCATAGCTAACACTCAAGAGTGCTAACTGCGTGCTGGCCTTGTGCTCAGAGCCTTACACACATCAGCTCATTTGGCCTCACAAAAACTGCAGGAGGTGGGCACGGTTCCCACCCCATCCTTCGGATGAGAAAATGGAAGCTCACATGTTAAGTGTCTTTCCCACGGTCACATGGCCCGGGAGTGGCTGATATAGGACTTGAGTCCAGGCAGCCTGACTCCAGACCTGTGCCCTTGACCCTGACGAAGCTGCTTTCCCTCCCCAACATTGGCCTCATGGCTCTATAGAGGGTCTGTTCCTTCAGGTGAAGCCACACTGCCTAGGTCCAGGACCTGGGACATTTCAGGGGCTCAGAACAAGTGCCCCATGTCACAGAGCTTGAGGCTCCCCAGGGCCCACCCAAGCGCTCTCTGTCAATACACAGAGGCCAGAAACCCTGCACTGCTCCACATGAGGCTGTCCCACTACTTCCCAGGTCACGGCGCTGTGGACCTGCCTGACCCTGACCCTGTCCTTCAGTTCTCCGACTCCAAACACAGAGTCCCCAAACTGTCACTGGGTCCCTCTCTGTGCAGAGCAGGGAAACAACGTCCAGCCAGCCTTCCTCGGAGGCAGGCCGTGGGTGGGCCTGAGCCCCGCATGTTCTCCACTGTAGCCCTCCACGATGCCCCCCGTATTGACGGGCATGTTGAAACTCGGTCAGCCCAGGTTTGGGTGGAGTTGGGTTTTGTACCCAAGCTGACCGTCAGACTCCAAACCCTCTGCCCCTAACAGGTAAGCTTCAGGAAACTAGACTCTGAGTGCAGCTACCAGGCTGCAAGGCAGGTTGAAAAGTACAAAGCAGCCCGTCCGGGCCTGCCCCCACTGCTGCCCCTCCTGCCCTCCTTCTTGGGCCCTGTGGACTGTTTCTCGCCCAGCAAGTATCCATCCGAGCCTAGCTCAGGCCCACAGCGGTGGGCCAGGAGGGCAAGCCACAGGGGGTCTCCCATTCCCTTCCACACAAAGCTGTTTTCAAGCTGGGGGTGTCATGCTGCTTGTGTTATTTTAAATGTGGCAATGGACCCGTTTGGCTGCCCAGCAGTGGGCCTGCTGTAAGCCACCCGATAAGAACTGGGGTGGCCAGTGGGCGTGAGATGCCTGAGTTGTGCCTGTGGTTCACCGGGGGTGGCACCACTGGCTTCTGTGGATTAGGGTTGGTGGGGGCTGTTTGTCCACTGGTCACTAGGGTTACAGGGACCCTGGGCAATTACCCATTTTCCTCTGCATCCCAGATCCATCCTCCATCATCCTCCCAGATGTGTGTGTCCTACCATCTGTCCCTCCATGTTCCTCCAACCCCTCTCCCTCCTGGCCAGCCCTAAGGACTCCTGGGGTGTCTAGCTTGGCAAGCTTTGTGCTCGGTCCTCAGCTGGACCTTTGTACCAACTAGATCCCACCTCATAATGCAGTCCTTGGCAAAGTGTCCCCATGACCACCTCCACCTTGGGTGGTCCCTCGCTGGCACCATGGCTTTCAGGCCAATTTTCTGACCTGGGTGGGTTCCCCCTCTCTGTCTCTCTCTTCCTCTCTCTCTCTCTCACACACGTGCACACAGAGACACACACGCACTTGGAGAAGGCCTCATAAGGCCCCTGCCGCTGTTCTCTCCGTTATCTGGAGTGGCTGGCTGGGGCCAGACCGAGGGGTGAGGCAGTCGCCACCCACACCCTGTGCTTGCTGGATGCAGGACCTGTCATGTGTCAGCATCTGTGTTTTGTTTTGCTTCTTATTTCACGGTGATTTCTTTTGTTTGGTTGTTGTGCCGTCAACACAGATTCTTGTGTGTGTGCTTCTCTCTCATCCTTTCTTTTTTCTCTCCCTCTCTCACTTCCCTGCACCCCGTGTTGCTTGTGGCTGCCCCAGGGAATAAAGGGCCAACCAGGTGAGAAGGTGAGTCCACACTTTCCCCTTTGCCCTTCTGCCCCAGCCTTGGCTTCCACCCCCGTGGACTCCTGGGGGCCTTTCTGAGGCCCCCAGCTCAGCCCTCCTGCTGGCGTGCAGGCTAAGCAGAGCTGCCAGCCAGGCCTGCTGTGCTCTCGGCCTCTCACGGCCGTTTTCTAATAGCTTCCACACCATCAGCCAGGGTCTTGGGTTCCTGGGCTAAAACTGCAACCTCGCTGGCCGAGTGGGTCTCCCCTGCCTGCTGAGGCTGCCTGTTGCCACCAATCAAATTTCTGATTCTGAGCCTTAGAAAGTCACCCTTCCCAGAGGCAAGGAGTGTACCGGTTGCTGTTTTGTGTGGGACGCAGCACCCTGCCGTCCTCCCAGCAGGGCACAGGCTGGGTCCTTCTATCAGAGCATCGCCTCTCACCTCCATCTCTGTTCCATGCACCCTTCACCCTCCTTCTGTTGCCCCTCCCCACCAAATTCTGCCCAAACGTAACCCCTCAGTGTTACTCTGAAACCAGGACGAGGAAGTTCCTGGCAGCTCCAGCCTTCAGGCTCAGGGCTGCTGGGCCTACACAGCACGTGTGTGTGTGTCTCATCCCTACCCTCTATTTTCAACAACTCCATCCCTGGGGCAGGCTGCTCGCCACTCACCAGTTGCAGGGAGTGCAGCCACATGGGTAGTTGGGGGTAGGAGTGGAGAAGAAGACCTAGGAGACTGAAACTGGGCTGGGGCTGAGGCAGTTTGCAGAGTGTCCCGTGCAGGGCTGTGGGGAGAGGCCTCTGGGGCCCGAGCAGCCATGGCTGAGCTGTGTCCCCCCTTCCTCCCTGCCTCCCCCACCCTGTGCCACCCTCTTCCCCATCACCGCACTGAATCCTCTTCTTCCTGCTTCCTGGTCTGAGGCCCCACCACCCTCTTTCCCTGGTCTCCACATCTTCCGCTTTTGCTATACCTCTTCTTGCTTTATTCCTCCTGCTTCCCTCTGCCCTTCTCATCTTTTCTGGATGTCTCATTCATCCCTCGTGCGTCTCCCGTCCCCTGATCTTCCCTCCCCCTGCGTATCCCCTGGCCCCTCTGCGCTCCACCTCCGGCTGGCACCCCACCTTCGCATGCCTCTCCTTCCCCACCTGCCAGCCCCTCCTTTGACTCTTCTTTTCCCACCCCTCTCCCCTCCTGCCCCTGCCCCTCGCTCCCGATCCCTCTCTTCTCTCTCTCTCTTCTCTAGGGGGCCCCAGGAGATGCTGGGATGTCGATCATCGGTCCCCGTGGCCCCCCTGTAAGTGGTTTTTGCTTTTCTTGGGGGTGGGCGGGATGGGCGAGTTACTGAAAAGGGCTTAGAAGCGTTGCCTCTGGGTGTGGCGGACGCCACATGTGATGTGGTGGCCAGGCCGGGCCTCAGTGCTGTGTTGATGTTAACGAGAGTGGCCTGACTAAATATACCCAAATTACAGCCTGTTGGGAGGGTGTGCAAAGGCCGCCCCTCTGGCCACGAAGCTGTAGCAGCTGCCAGGTGGCCCTGCTGTCTACAGGCAGAGGGAAGCAAGTGCCCACTCCCGTCTGGAGGGGGTGCTCCCGCTTTCCAGGGGACGAGCCGTGTTTCTGGAAGCCCATGGAGCAAATACCCATGAGGTCCAGACTCCCTGGTCTGACACCCACTCCCAGTCCTGGCAGACGCCAGATCTACCACTCACCCTCAAAAGCTCCTTTTGTGCTCGGCCTGGGAGGAACTATGTCTTGGTTCCTCCTCCCCATGGCTGCGGGTCTTGGGAAAATCAGAGATGATTCCATTCAGATATGCTTCTTAGGGACCGGATGGGTGGCGTGGGTGATGATGGGGAAGATACTGTGACTATGGGAAGGAGGGCTGGCTGTTTTTCTCAAAGAGTGCCTGAACCATGGGGCTTCAAAAAAATCACCATATGTCAGCATGGAAAGGGCCTCAGCAATGGTCTAGCATAGCCCTCTGAGAAGGGGAAACTGAGGTCCAGAGAGGGGAAAGGATTTGGCCAGGCTCCCACACATAGGGTTAGGGCAGGATCAGAACCCAAGGCCCCTGGCATTCAGGGCTTCCAGACAGCAACGGGCCACCATCGCAGTGTTTTGCTATGTGCTTTTCCTGAGCTGCTATTTACAGCAAGAGAGTGAGAGGAGCTGTACCTTCCCTTCAAGTAACAACTTCTGGGAGGCTGAGGTTAGCCCAGTGGATGGATGAAGCTCTGCCTGCTATTCTTCTCCTTTAGTGGAGAGAGCCAATAGGAAGCCACAGTCTTAGACTGCCCGCGCTCTAAGGAGAGGGATCAGAGAGCAGATTGCTAAGTCTGAGGAGGGAGTCGTGATGAGCTAGCCAGGGAGGGTCTATGATGAGAGCTGAGAGGTGGAGCCAATCTCCCTGCTTGAAGCCTGGGGAAGGTCAGACGGGGAGCCAAAGGCTTGCAGGCAGGTCAGGGTCTGGGCTGGAGTCAGGGCTTGGAGGGTCCTGGGCCATGTAGACACACCTTCTCGGCAAGGCGTCCTCTAGCCCAGACCACAAGGATAATGCTAAGGGCTGACACTCGGGCACTTGCTTTGGGGCAGGCAGTCTCCTAAGACCATTCCACGTAGTAACTCAATCTTCACAGGAGTCCCGCAGGCAGCTACTATTTCCATCTCTATTTTATAGAGGAGAAAAGCGAGCACAGAGAAGTTCAGTAACCGGCCCAAGGTCAAACACTGGAATGTGGTCACGCTGGGATTTGATCTCTCAGGCGGGATGCATGGCTCGGAGTCTGCACTCGGAGCCCTGCTGCTGTAGCAGCGCGCAGAGAGCGGGGGTGGGTCCCCTGTGGCTCTAGGCTCACGTGGCCACAGCCTGCACGGGCTGGAAGCTTCTCTGTGTATTGGGGGAGCCATGGCATAGATGCCTTGAGCCCAGCTGTCTCTGACAAAGGTGGTGTCCGGTCAGGGGGCGACTGGGATATGGGAAGGTTACAGAGAAGGACAGACCTCCAGGTTATAACGGCAAGGACAGTGTCTGCGGTGGGCCTATTAGGAGGACAGGGATGGCCACCATCTGTCTGCCTCCTGGTCTGACCACAGACATCCCACTGAGTCGACCGAGTTGTTGCTCTAACATTCTCTGAGCAGCTCTTTCAGCAGCATCTTGTCAACAGGCTGCCTAAAAGTTGTAGAAAAGACCTCTTTCCTACAACTTCTGGAGAACATGCTCGGGGCAGTGGTCTGCCTCAGCTCCCCTGGCTTCCGGCCCCACGTCACAAGCCTAAGCAGGAACACAACTCCCACACTGGGTTTGACGCCAAAGGTGAAAGTACCTTCTGTTCAGGTAACAGCGATGACTTCGGTCTCCTGGGCACCTAGCCCCCTCCTGGAGCTTCCCCACGCGCCAGCCTCCTTCATCCCTCCCAACAAAGCTGGGAGGCAGGCCCGCCAGTCCATTTCACAGAGATGGAAACAGTCTCGTAGCCGCCTGTGGCTGCCTCGCCGGTCAGTGCTGGGGCTCGGTTGGGCCCCATAGCTGTATTCCCCAGGCAGCACTCCTTCCCGGCGCTGCCTGCCGTCTTTTAAGCTCTCTTTTTAAACAGATTTTTACCTTAAGGAGAAAAAAAGGTTCTCCTTATTGGAGCTGTGTGGTGCGAGGTGAGACACAAGGAAGCTTGACCAAGCCTGGCGCCCTCTGCTTTTGGCCTGTGTGGGTGACCATCACCCAGATGACAGGGGCCATCCCTGCTGAATCCTCACCAGACACCAGGGCAACCCCATCGGCTCATTCCCAGAAGTTACTTGGAGTTGGTGAGAACAGGGCAGGGGGAGACAAAGGGGTCATTTGTTTTTAAGAGGTAGAGGTCAAGTGGGCAAGCCCTCTGGCAGGGGATGATGGGACCACGTGGCTTTCCGCTCAGCCCGGAAGGGCCCCACACACATGCAGACAAGGACCAGCCTTGCTGCTCTTAGGGGCCACCTGCCTTCTCTCTCAGAGTTTCATACGTGGTCTGGCCAAAAGGAGAACCATCCAGGCACTTCTGGGAAGGATGGTTCACACTGTAATGAGGCAAGACGCTGAAGCGGTTGTCCCATTAAACCGAGGGGGAGGCTGGGGCCTCGAGAGGCTGGCTGGCCCAACAGGCACTGGAGAGGCCACCTTCCAGGCTAGGAAATGCCCCCCATCTCGGAGGGAGCTCAATCCCTCCCTGAGGTGTGGACCCTGGGTCAACATCTCCAACTGATTGCCTCTCTCAGAGAATCAGTGCCTCCCAGCTTCTCTTCAGGAACCAGGGGGAGCTCTCTGAGCTTGCAGCCCTCGTTCACAAGGAGACACCCCTGTCAGGTCAATACACGTGTTGAGTGTTTCTTGGTTTACTTATTTCATTAACATGTGTTAGGCACCTTCTGCACGCTAGGTACTGGGAGACGAGGGACACCTGACTGCAACCCGCTTGCCTCTTGGCAAATAGACCAGCAATGCCACAGTGATTACAATGGCAGCAGTCAGTGCTCGGCCTGGGGCAGTGAGGGGGCTGTGGGGACAGAAGGAGGCCCCGGACCTGGGGCGGAGGCAGGCACGGAAGGCTTCTGGGAGGAAGGCATAACTAAATTGTGATCCAGGATGAGCAGAGGTTACCCAGGTACCAGACTCGGGGGAGCACTGATTCTCCAAGGCAGGAAGGCTTCCTATAAACTCCTGGAGAAATGGGGAAGTTCTTTACAGAGCCCAGCAGGGGTGAGACTGGCGAGGCAGCAAGGATCTGATCATGAAGGACCCGGACACAATGTTCAGGAGTCCGGATTTTCCCCTGAGGGCAGTGGAGAGCCGTTGGGTTGTGCTCAGCAGGGGAGGGACGAGATCAGATTGGCAGTTTAAAAAGGTCTCCTGATTGCCCTGCTCCAGCATAGAGAATGTGCAGAAGAGGCTGCAGGCAGGGGCCTGGCTGGAAGGCTCCTGCAATAATCAAGACGTGGCCTGGAGCACAGCCACTGGGGCTGGTGGGACTGCGGGGCTGGGGAGCCATTGTGAAGGTGGAATTGAAGGAAAGTAGTGATAATAAAAATGGGGGTCGAGGGAGGAACCCAAGACGATTCCATATTTCCGACATGGTAACAGAGTGGGTAGGGGTGCCTTCCCCAGAGGGAAGAGCAGACTTTTTCTGGGGGAGATGAGTTCAGTCTGAACACGGTGAATTTTTGAGATGTCCTGGTAACATCCAAGGAGCGTAGCCCTCCGTTTGCTGCCAGAGCTCAGAGGGTGTGTACTGAGCTGGTTGCCCTGGCTCTCAGGAGCCAGTCCCTCACACCCCTCCCAACTTTGTGTTTAATGAAATCACAATTGTAGCTTGAAATCAGCCACGGTGGGAGTATTTACACCACAGAAATTGGCAAATGCTGTACAAAGCAGGACTCTCCTTCCCACTCACCCCTACCCCAGCCAGTGATTAAACACTTAACGGCACAGTCTTACATGAAAGCTAGCACTGACTTGGAGAGAGGGGGGTGAAATGAGGCAGGCTCTGGAAAGGTACATGACCGAGCCTCTCTCTGCAGCCAGACAGAAGGGAAGGGGAGGTTTCCAGCAGGCTGGCTCCAACCAGAACATTCTGTCTGTCCATGTTGCATTATCCTGCACCAGTTGTAGATAAGAAGAAGGCAGGGAAGCGTAGACAGATGCAGGGTTCACTTCCAATAGCAGGGGTCCGAGAGGCTCCCTCCCCGCCCTAGCTTTGAGTTAAGGGAAGAGACTTCAGAGAGCAATGTAGAGCTAATTTCCCTTGTTCTGCTTTAGAAGGATATAACATTAATCTACAAATCTATTATCCATAATTTTAATATGATCTTAATTCAAGTGCACTTGGAAGAAATGTTTGTGAGGATGTCAAAAAATTTCTGAAAAATAGTATAAGGGGAATGGTGAAGAGGGGACCAGTTTTTCTATTTGTCATTATGTGTCATAAAAACAGAGCAATTATTTATAACAGCACATAAAACAGAATGGGGAGGCCAGAAATAAAGCCAAATGCATCTTGGAAATTGGTCTGTGATAAAGGCTCGATTTCACAATAAAAAGAGAAAAATAGATGGATGAATATCTACCTCAGTTATATCAGAATAAATTTCAAATAAGTAAAATACTTAGATGTGAAATGTAAAACCCTAAAATACAAGAACAAAGCATGAGCAAACATTTTATATTTTTTAACTTGGGAAGGCCCTTAAAACCCAGAAGCCACAGGGAAAGATTGATAAGTCGGTCAACATAAATGTAAGACTTCCATGTGGCACAAAATATATCACAAACAAGGCAGCCAGCTGGACAGAATGTCTGCAACATGCATGAGTATCCAAGACTTACTGTGCTCGACAAAGAGCTTTACTCAAATCAATAGGAAAAAGACAAACAACTGAGTAGAAAATATTGCTAAAGAATACAAACAGGCTGTTCACAAATAAATAAGACTGGCAATAAACATGGGGAAGGAGGTCCGACCTCAGCATGGAATTTGTTGTAAATTAAAACCCAGTTCCAAGCCTCTCCAAGGGCCTTACCCAGGCCCAAACTCTCCAGGAAGTAGAGTCCGAGTTTCCATTTGGTCAATGACAACATTCTTCCCAAGATCCCCGAAAAAGCCTCGGTTAGCCCTGCATTTGGCTTTGGGTTGGAGAGATACCTCCTGCTACCAGGGCCAGCTCTGTAATTAGCAAACCATGCGATTATCTCTGCCATGTAAACATTAGCCCAAGTGGGACTTGAAGACGCTTCTTGGAATCCTCTCCTCCTGACCTTTCCTTCAGGCATCTCAGCGTTCGGAGAAGTCGAAAGTTTACAGTGGCAGGTTGCAGAGGTTACATTGCACCGTTTCCGGGTTTTCTCCTTGGTGCTATTCTTAGCATCACTTATCCTTGACAGGAGAGAAGCCAGGGGCCCTTCTGATATATGAGCGGCATCTCTTCCCTCTGGCCCTTTTGGATGCCTGCCACAAGCCCATCCTGAGCCTGCAGCATACTCCCCGCCTGGCCAGTGCACCCACCCTGATGGCAGGGTCCACATCTCAGCCATCCATGTCCCCTGAGCACTTGTGTCCACAGCTTTAAGAAGAACCAAAGCAGCCTGGAGATGTTTGAGGTTCACAGCAGATGGATCCAGAGAAATCTTCCTCTGGTTAGGGCCTCATTCGGAAACTATTACTTGGCAAGGACAAGCCTCCTTGGGTCCTAAGAGATATCGGGCTCAAAAGCAATCTTGCTTTATTTTGGTGCTTTTAGGTCCTGTCCAACCCAACAAACATCTGGTGATGGCAGCTACCATTTCAAAGGGCTTTGCGAGCACAACGGAATGTAATTCAGTGACCCTAGGAGGTTATATGGTTATTCCCATCCTCCAGTTGAGGCAGTTAAGGCAGAGAGAGGTTAGGTAACCTGCTCAGAGTCACAGAACCATTGTTGGCAGAGGCAGCCAGATTGCAAAGCCCAAGTTTGGGAAGAGACTGGGCCATCTCCAGCCAGGAGGGGACTCCAAGCTGAGAGCTGAATATGGGACAGATGTGGCATGTCTGGGGAAAGGCGCCTGAGCCAGTGCGCCCGGGCAAAGAGTGTGTGGGAAGATGAGGCAGGAAAGGACCGAAAACGACAGATCGGGACGCGGTTGAGGATGACCCTGAATGTCGTGTGAGTGAAAGAACGAAAGAGAGCCAGTACTGGTTCTGGAGAAGGCGAGCGACAGGACTCACGCTTCCTAGCGCTCCGTTCTCCTCGACCTCCTCGGCCCTCCCAAGTCCTGGGTCTGCACAGCTTCATGCTGCTTCCAACCCAAGCGCGTCTCTTTTGCCCTAAATATCGACCACAAGCCAGTGAACCTGCTTATAGTCCACCACCTGAACACCTTATATGTGGCCCTTTGCCCACCCAGGAAAATGGGCGTGAATAGATCTGTGTCTCACAAAGATGGGGAGGATCCAAAAATTGCCCAACTCAGAGAGGCCTGCCAAGAGGAAAGTGAGCAACTTCATTCTGACCCAAAAGCACACATCTCAAGGGTCAAATTTGGATAGCCATTGATACCCAAACTGTCCCTAGATAAGTCGCCGTGAGTGATGGCTGCTTGAATAAAAACCACAGTTCAGAAGTTCAGTGCGCTGCAGGCTGCGTCCCCAACGTCCTTGCTGTCCGTCACCTGTTTACATGCCAAGGTTTGGAGTGAAAGAAGCAAGGAGCTCTGAGGGGCTACTTCCCAGCAAGGCCCGAAGGATGGCGGCCAGCTCCTTTCCCCTCCCCCACTGCCAGTCCGGGGAGGAGATGTGCTGTGCTCCACTCCCATCTTCATCCTCCCTCACGGCCAGTGCACGACGCTGGGGAGAGTCCTGGATGGTCACAGAGGAGTGGGAAGGGACCAGGCCCCTTTGGGAACAAAGGTGGACCAGGGCACTGAGGGGTGGTTTCAGCCCCTCCACACCTTCCTCACTCTCTGTGTTCTTTTCAGGGTCAGCCAGGCACCCGAGGTTTTCCTGGATTTCCGGTAAGTGGGAGAGCTGTCTTGACTCCTGGGCTGGAGGGGTTAAACTTCATGCAGGGCCAGTCCTGAGGCTGCTCTTGCCCTTCCAAACCCTGGTCAGTAAGGACCCTCTCCCAAGAACCTTTCATGGGAAGGAGAGGTGCTCAGTGCTCGGAGAAATCAGTGTGGAAATAAAGGGACAGCAGGACAGGAACAGGTGAGTGAAGTCACAGGCTGGTAAAATTTGGTAGGACCCTGGAATGCGGAACAGATGACTCACCGCAGGGAAGCAGCCTCAGACCTGGCCTTCGGGGGAGCTCTGCCTGGAGGAGGCTGGGCGGTGGCGGGAGGTGGCTGTCTGGGTGTCCCGGGAGCCCAAGACAGGTTCTAGGAGGGAGGGCAGAGGGGCAGCTGGGTTTTTTCCACAGGCCTCGGTGCTGGCCAGCCCTGATTTCTAGGAACACACTGTCCACTCTCCACCCAGGGTGAGGCCGAGGCCTGTGACAGCCCCCACCCATCAGGTCCTCCTCGGTTTGGGACATCTCGTAGATGATATCTCCCTCACTCCTCACAAGGACCCTTTGAGGAAGGTCTATGATTCTCACCCCCATTTTAGGATGGGAAACTGGCTTATCATGGTCATACAACCAGCAGACACTTGAGCCCCAGCTGTTGGAGACTCACGGCCCCAGGCTGCCTCTGCAGCAGGAGACCTGGGAGGCTCAGCCTTTATATCTCTCTTCTTTCTGCTTTCAGGGTCCCATTGGGCTAGACGGAAAACCGGTGAGTACACCCTCTTGGGCTGGGACTCCACCCTCTCACTTGGTGCAGGTCACTAACTTGGGGTGTCTCAGTCCTTTTGCAAGACCCCATGTCCTTGGAAGAAGCTTTAGGTAGAATGACCATGTTGGGGGCAGAAAGTTGTTGCCAGTGGGAAGGGAGGAGGGGCCGTTAGCCTGGGTTGCCCTGACCCCAGTGGGCCTCTGCAGGGCACACACCCGCCGCCCCCAAGATGGGCCTTCAATGTCTGCAGCAAGAGCCACGCTAGAATTGGGCGCGATGCTGGGGCGCTCCTGGAAGGCAGCCGGGTAGGGAGGACTCACAGCCAGTTCTAAAGGAGCCTGGGCACTCTCCCCTGCTGTTGCTCCTGCGCCTCCCGTCCTCCTGGGGCCTCCCGTCCTGGTTGAGACCCCCCACACACATGTCCCCGTCTGTACTGAGCCTGCTTCCCCACCCCGAACTTCTCTCTTTGTTCATTTCAATTCTTCCCACTTGGCCCCAGACATGAATATTCCTGGGGGAAAGGAGACCCCTCCCCACTCTTGGGAGGGAATGAGCTGGGGGAGAGCTCAACCTTCCAGTGCGCTCAGAGCTGCCCCCCTCGATGGAAGGCGGTGAGTGCCGGGTCCAGTCCCACCCGCTCTCTTCTCCCCTGAACAGCTGGCATCCTCTCAGATGAGGGGTCCAACCACTACCTGGTCGCCCCTCTCTGCAAGCCAGAGTAAGCACAGCGAGTCGGCTGTGGTGATCACGTCCACTCCTCTCCCAGGACCTGGTGGGGGAGGGAGGGGCCACATGTGGCTGGACAGGAGACCCCCAGCTGGCACCCAGTATGCCTGGCACTCACGCTGTTTTCCTTCCAGGGCTACCCTGGACCAAAAGGGGAGATGGTAAGACCCCAGCTTTCCTGTCTTCCCTCGAGGGGTGGGGGGTCAGCTTGAACCACTTGGGCCACAGCCAAGCACTGCCCGGCAAATGGGCCCAGCAGGGGCAGCGGGAGTAGCCGCCCCACAAGCACTCCCCAGCTGTGTGCAGTGCGTGCCCCTAGGTCCTCACACGGATGAAGGGAGGAGAGGGGGGCAGGGGGGCTTCTCCACGTGAAAAACGCGGCTGGGGGATCCAGAGAGAATTCACGCTTGGCCAGTGTCACACGGAGTCAGAGGCTAGTGCTCCCTCAGGGATGCACTCACGGCTAGCACTCACACTGGGGGCGTAGGGAGCCCATCCAGCACTCTTGTCCTTGGCCTGGGTTCCTCATGCTCACCCTCCTCTGGGCTGTCCCAGGACTCCAGGTGACGCTGTCTCACCGGGCACAACGCAGCCTTGGAGAAGCAGACCAGCCTCCGTCTTCCTCCAGCCCCTTCTGCCTCTGCAGAGCCTTTTAAAGGAATGTCCTCTCTCTGCAGTCTCCCCAGGCCACTTCTTCCAGAAGGAAAAGGTCTGCCTTTGTCAGGGGCTCGCCACTTCGGGGGAGGGGCCATTCTCAGAGGGACTCAGGGGCCACTAAGAGCAGGTAGGCCAGCCCTGGCTGGGATGTGGTCCTGCCTCCCAGGTGGGTCACATCTGCATTGTGAGCAGCCACTTTCTGCGGGCAGGCCCGGTTTGTGCCAGGTGTGACGGGAACGTGGCAGGCTCCTGTCTCCCTGTCCAGCCGGGCTCAAAGTGCTAGGTGAGATGCTGAGACAACTGAGACACTGCCCAGGCAAGGGGGGCCAGAGTCCTGCTTGGGAGGCAAATAACGGCTTGCCAGGGGACCCTTGGTGACTCAGCTCCCTCGGCACCTCAGCCTGGCCACTTGATGCAGACTCAGCCAACACTTACGAAGGCCTTCTGTCTGCTGGGCATGGAGCTAAGTGCTGTGCATAGATGAGCTCACACTCAGCATGGCCCCGTGCTCCGGGTCCCATTGGTATCCCCTTTGATAGCCGTGGAGATTAAAGCTCAGAGAGACTGAATGATTTGCCTAAAGTCACCTAGCCAGGGGGCATCCAGAACAGGATCCAAACTATTCTCGAATTCCTGTCCTCCACATTTTATTGCCTTGCTCTCTCCTGAATTCCCTCTCTCCTTCCCAGTCCCCCTGCCTCCTTCCTGCCTTTAACACATTTTTGTGGGGTAGCTACAGTATGCTGGCACTGTGCCAGGTGCTAGGGATCTGCACAGGAATAACGCCCAGTGTAGTGGGGGAGACATACATTTAAATGATTATGCATATAATTAGCAAATCGCCTTCGTAATTAGTGCTATGAAAGGGCAGTGCTTGTTGCCCTGAGAAACCTCGGTATAACAGCACCTCACCCAGGCTCAGAGGGTCAGAGACGCGTTCCTGAGAATGAAACTTGAACTAGGGTCTGAGGGATGAGGATTTAACTAAGAGAAAATGGGATGGGAGGGACATGGAAGAACAGCTAGTGCAAAGGCCCCGAGGCAGGAAAGTCCTTCAAATACCCACAGAACCAGAAGAAAGGCAGTGAGGCCCTGGAGGCAGTGGGTGGAAGAGCTAGTGTTGGAATCCAGGTCCCCAGCCAGCTTTCCTCTCCATCCCAACAAACAGATTGCAAATGTATTTTTCGTTGCCCCTATCCTGTTCCTAAATATGCTGTGCCCGTGCTTGAAGTAATGTAGACCAAGGCAGGAATAAACTTCCGTATTATCATTGTGGTAGAGGCATAAGGGGTTTGGATGCCAGGAGTTTGGGGCATTCCCTTCCCGGAGGCTTGGTGCTACCACGTTTAGTCTTGGTACTTCACAGGTAGTGATGATGGTTATCAGTTGCACTGTTCTGTAATCCCCATAATGACTTGTTATTCCCACCACACAAAAGGTGAGAGTGAGGCATAGGGTGTTTGAGCGAGCATATTGCCCAAGGCTACATACACAGCTCCTAGGTAACAGAGCCGGGATTGGGAGCCTCGGGCTGAGATCTTCCCCCTCACCACACTTCCTTTCTGCTGCCAGGGCCTTTTGTCTCGAAAGAAAGGACCCTTCCTCTATGGGGCTCTTCTTCCTGTAGCCCTTCTGCCCCACCCCATTCAACCACCCAGGAGTCTCCTCCCATCTGTTAGGGGTCAGAGCTAATTCAAGGGAAGGGTGGGGCCGTCCCATGTCTCCTGAGTCCACTCAGTGTGATAGATCCGCTATCCGCCTCATGGTCATCCATCAAAACCCGACAGGCTACAGCTATTAGACTCCTGTTTGGCTTGGCACGGGGGCCCCGAGCTATTAATTCAACACTGTCTGGTGTAATTATCTTGGCCTGCTTATCATCTGTCTGTCTCCTACTCTCTTCTCTCCCCAGATGGTTTTCCCTCTGCTAGGCATCCAACATAGGGGGCTGGGGCTCACCCTCATGTGCTAAACCCATGTCCTCACCTGTCAAAAGGGGGTTATCTCTGTCCCACCCACCTCACGGGAGCCCCGAGAACTTGATGTAAGATGTAGACAGGATCGGGGTCCCACAAGTGCTGTAAAGGAGAGTGGGAACTCTCCACCCACAACTTAGCCCACCAATTACAGGGCTGCCCCAAGGGTGGGAAGAGTTAATTCATACCAAGTGCTTAGAACCGTGCCTGGCACAGCAGAAGCAGGACAAGCTCCTTAGCCAGCACATCACCCATGACCTGCCTTAATAAAGGGGCAACTGCTTTTCACCTAGTGCTAATTGTTGCCATGTGTTATTGGGCCTTGAAATACTGAAAAGGGACTTGAAATCCAGGTTTTTGTTGTGCTCTCCTTGCTCTCAAATGTTGGCAATTAAGTGGAATAAAATTGTGTAATACTTCTGGGGACCAGAATCATCCCACCCGCCACCACTCGGATGCACGGACTCACTCCTGCAGGTCTGTGCAATCTGGGCTCTTGTTGATTCTTGGCCCCTGGCCCACCCGCCCTCATCGAGCTCCTCTTTCTGCCTGAGAGAGTGTGGCCTGTTCACCTGCAATCTTGCACCAGATGCATCATATTCTGCTGAATTTGATACTAAACACTTGGTCAGCCGTATGGACTGGGGTGCCACATGGATTGTCCCAAAGGTCACTTGTCTCCTCTCATGAATCTCCTGGGACTCTCCCAGTTGGGTGGTTTTTTCTGTTGGCACTCTTGGTCAAGAGAAGGCTCATGTCCAACTCAGAAGGATTGTCCTGCAGATCCTGAGTTCTCCAAGCCCCAAAGAGACGGGTCCAGTGGGTGGGTCCTCACAGGCCCTCAGGAGGGTGGCTGGAGGGGACCTCAGGCCCCAGCAGCTAGGGCACTGCCTGTGGTTCTAGCCAAGTCTAGAAGCCCAAGCCCTATCTCCCAATGTCCAGCCCAGTTCAGAGAACATGGCAGAGTGGAAACAGCTGGACCCTACGGTCAGACAAACTTGGGCTCACGTCCCATTGCCACCCCTTGCTGAGTCTTGTCTACCTCACCTTGTCTGCAAGATGGAGCTGACGTGAGCACCTTTCTCACCGGCCAGGGCAGGTGTGAGCTCAGCACGTACTGAACGCCAGCCCCAAAGTGGGTCCTCAAAACAGGAAGTGCTTGTCCTCCCCCACTTCACTCCACACCAGCCAGGAGGCCTCCCTGACGGGGCCTCAGCCCAGGCTCCTGAGAGCCAGCTGGACGCTGTGTCCTCCTCAGAGAACATGAGTCCGCCCTGAACTTGGGCTCCTTTCTCAGCCCTGTAAATTTGACAAGACATCCTGGAAGGAAATCCCAAGATCTCTTATGTTCCTCCAAGGGGCCCAAGACATGACTTAAGTCGTTAACTTCCTGCTTCCTCTCTTTCACCAAAGACGTCTCCAAAGCCACGAGGAGATAGATGGGTATGAATGAGGCAGGCCACCCACAGAGGCGGAGCCCCACCTGACATATAAATGCAGCCCTTCCCTGGCCGGGGCACATAACATGATGGTGGGTAGAGGAATGAACCAAGGATGGCATCCATTCTTCATCACGGCCATGCACGTGGGGACAGGGTACAGCTAGTAATGCCCGCTGACGTGAAGAAGCTGAGACGTGTACAGACCCCACCTCTGGAACATCTCAGGCACGGGAAGACCAGGTGTGGGTGGCGGAGCCCAGCCTTCGCAACTCCGGCCGTTCAGCCCAACCCCTACCTAGGCCCCGCCTCTGATCGGCCTGCCTCTGTACACCCACTGACCTGTGTGCATTTCCTCCCCACAGGGCCTGACGGGTCCCCGAGGACAGCCGGTTGGTGCCTCACCCCAACGTTCCGCAGCAGGGAGGTTTGGGGCCGCTGTGTTTTTAGCTTTAGTTTCTAACACTCTCATTTCCATCTCTTCATAGGGACCTCAAGGAGAAAAAGGAGAAAAGGTAGGCCAGATAGCGGTTTTCTAGAACTTTCATCTCAGGTAGAGCACATTTTTTTAGAACAACAGGTGGAGAGGGGTCCAGAGTGGTAATTTTCAAACTTTGGTTCTTATCGGCAGAGCCACGGAGTCCTCCGAGGTACCGGGGTGAGAGAGGAAGGGGAGGCTGCTCTGGCCCCCGTGCTGTTCTTGGGGTAGACGGGTCAGGGATGGGCGAACGCCCTGAAGTCTGGCCCTCCTCAGCCTCTTTTTCAGCCCCTCTCCCCTGCTACCCCCAGTCTTTCCTGACCCCACTCTATGAGCCTGTAGGATTTTGAGGTGTCACTGTATAAACCACTAGGGGCCCCCTTCTTGGCCCCCATTCTCTGTTTCTCTGAATCTCTAATGGAAATTCTGGCTGGGCTTGCCCCAGGTAGATGATGCAGGGACCCGGCACCCCCAGCTCAGCGAGGGCGTCTCTGGGGGCCTCGTGCCCAGGCCTGCCCCGCCGTCTGCCACTGCCATCAGGAGCACCTCTCAGGAATGCTGGGCGGAGCCTCAGTCTTTCTGTGCCAGGTGTGGAGCGTGGCTCCTGGCCGTGCGGTCATGGCAGCAGGCACAGCACGGAGCCCTGCCCAGGCTCCATGGCACCACATCCAGGAAGACTTTAGGAGGTTCTTCCCTGCTGCCAGCCTGGGGTGGGGAAGGAAATTAGTGATCCTGCCTCTGGTCCAGGATCAGAGGGGGGCTGGTGGGGTGACAAATGTGCATGGTATATCCCCAAGTCTGAGGATGCCCCTGATGGACAGCCCACCAACAGCTGACTAACACCCCTTCTTTCCCTTTCTTGTCCAGGGTCAGTGTGGAGAGTACCCACACCGGGTAAGTGAACCTCTAAAACTGATCCGTCCTGGGGCGCAGCCCCCATCCAGCTCAGCCTCATCTCCCTGGAGCTCCTAGCACCTACAGAGCTCGGGAGCGGGAGCACACAGCCCCCTCTGCACTCAGCAGCCAGGCCAGGGGCTGTGGGGCGGCGGTGTGTGTGCTGGGCCGGGGAGCGTGCCTTGGGGTCAGTCTGTGCGTTTGTGCAGAGCCAGTCTCCGGCACTCGTGTTCACCCGCCATTTGTGCCCGTGTCTCTGCCCTGCGCTGTCCGGGTTGCGAGTCTCCCAGCAGGTGTGCACATGCGACTCGGAGCACCAGCTACTTCTCTGCACATCGCCTTCTCTGCAAGGCCGGGTGGCTTGTGGGAGTGTATGTCAGAATCCCTACCTAGTGTGCATGTGTGGTTGTGTGTGTGTGACGGTGTGTGCACGTTTGGCTGCCTTCCCTAGCTGATTCAGAGGGACTTTTGGGTTAGTCATTATTTCAGATGACCCAACCTCGATGGTAGGGGATAACTGGGGGGCGGATAGTACCAAGTGAAGGGTGAAGGCTCTGCTTTGTTCCTTGAAGGACAGAGGACACTTTTCAGACAGGGCTGAGATGCCCTCCCAGCCACTTTCTTTCCCTGGCTCCACCCCCTCGGTGCAAGCCTGCAGCCTGCTGGCACCCTGTGAAGAGTCCGCAGACGGTGCCCCAACAGCATACCCGTTCTTGAGACAGGGAGGGCTGCGGTGCGCACTGCTTCCTCCAGTGAGAGGCGCAGCAAGCAGGGACCTGGAAAATGCCCCTCATTTTGTGGATCGGCCTTGCCACTCTCAGACCTGGGCATCTAAAGATGCCCCTCCCTCTTTCATGGACCTCACTGTGCCCAGAAACACACCCATGGTGTGGCCCACTGGCGCCCACCCGGGTCGGGCAGGGGGATGAAGGAGTGGAGATGAGCCAGGCCAAGTCCACCAGCCTCTGGAAGGCCGCCAGGAGGGCCTTACTGCAGGATCCTGCCAATCAGATTCTGATCCCTGGGTTCCTGGGTCAGGGAGAGGCCTCAGGGGGCCTTGCACATGAGTAGCTGGATTGGCATTGAGTCCAAGGCTGGGCTGGTCCCGGGCAGGGGGCACAGGCCAGCAGCAATGCAGACAGAGCCAGCCTGTCAGTGACATGTGCTCCAGGGACGTAGGGGCCCTGGTGTTCCGGCCAGCCTGATCCTGATGCAATAATAGAAGGTCAGCTGTGTTTATTTGAAACGATGGGCTCACAGGATTGTTATGTTGCCCGAAAGAAAGCCAGCCTCCCCCAGCGCAGAAGACAGCACAACTGCAGACGCTCTGGCAGTGCCGTCAGTCCTGAGCGAACGGAGGAGCATGAGGGGAGGAGAGGGCTCTCTGCCCCTAAGCCCGACATAAGAAGAGGGAGAGGGAGGGGCAAGAAGGCCCCAGAAGCACTTTTGTCACAGGGTGCAGCAAAACACAGCATTGTGACCGTGGCAGTGTGGGTCAGGCAGGGGTGAGAGTGGGTTTGGGGACCCATCTGGTGGGCAGGGCAAGGCAGCAGGCACTTGGTGTTTATTTGGAAGTGAATAAGGAAGCAGGGGACTTCTAGCGCAAGTGATCTATTGGCTTTCTGGAGGGTTTGCAGGCATGGCGGTGTGACATGCCTCTAGGTTCACAAGATGCCAAGAGAGCCAGGCTGGTCCCTGCGTCGGCTGCAGCCTGCAGCACCTCCAGGGAGGGAGGAAGGGGTGGGGGTGGAGTCCCCTGGGGTGGGCAGGGGAGCTGGTGCCTGTGGCCCTGGTGCCTACTCTCCCCATCGCCCTGTCTGACCACCTCCACTCCCCCTCCCGCACCAGGAGTACCTACGTGGCAGCGCGCTGTCAGCCCTGCACTCCAACCAGATCATTACCCTGAAGGTTTGTAGGCCCTGGCGTGGAAGGCCTCGAGCTGCTGCTCTGCGGAGAGGCTCCCTGGACACAGGGCCCAACATTGCACATCCTCACACCCCTAGTTGGGGGGGGGGACTCTCCGAGCAGCAGCTGCACGCGAAGGCAGCAGTGGCCTAGAAAGGCCACGATTGGGCTCCCATGTCCCCAGCTGGGCACATTCTCAGCCCAGGTGGCCCCTGGTCCTTAACACTCATCGCAGGGGCCTCCCGTGAGTTAAAATGCTTTCAAAAACATGAGGCTGATTATATGCCGTCTTTGTTTTGACATGGGTTCTAACCACTTCCTAGAGCCATGCTTCATGGGTATAGAGATTGAAAACGGCAAGAATTTCCAGAAATGAAAATCACATTCAATAATATGATTGCAAGTTGCCTCTCCCAAACAAGTGGTTGAACATGCCAGAGACATCCTTGCCCAGCCTCTATTTTCCGAGCCCTGCAGCCCCAGGGTGAGACCTCAGCAGCACTTATCTCATGCCCATACTGGCCACACCCTCAGTCTGCTCGGCCCCCGGGAGCCCAGCTTGGCACAGCCCCTGACCACCTCCCAGATTTGCTGACATCGGCCTTTCTCGTTCAACCAAAAAAAGAACCCATAGGTTGCCACACACCAGCCTGGCTTCCAGTACCAATTTAACTCGTCCTGTGGCTCCCCACCTAGCCAGAGCCTCTGGGTCGTCTGCCTTAGCCCAGCAGCCCTTGTCCACTACCAGGGGTGGGTGGGGCCCACAGTGCAATGTTGGGCTTCGTGTCAGGAGGCCTTTTCAGCCCAGCATGCCACAAAGGGCAGGCCCAGCCGAAGACGACCACTCTCCCAGCTGGGGGCTGCTGCTGTCCGATACCCCAAAAGCCACTCCTTCCGGGGACGGTGCACCATCCAAGGGCAAGCTCAGCGCTGCACCCCACAAGCCGTGAGAGTGCCCCATCCAGGCCTCATGCTCACTAATCTCTCTTCTCTCTATCTCTCTTCCATTCCCTCTTGGCCACCCTGCCTTCCTGGCGACTTCGGGCATCCTCCTGAACACCTGCGACCTTTGGCCTTTGCCCTCTGGCCTTCCAACTCATCTTTCTCCTCAGCTGCTGCCTCTCCTCAATTCAGTGCGACTGGCTCCACCCCCAGTCATAAAAAGGCGGACCTTCCAGGTAGACCCTTCCCTTTGCCCAGACCTCATGTGGTGTCCCCAGGGTCCAGCAAGTTTCTGCGCCCTAACAGGGCAGCTGGGGCTGTCGACGAAGACATACCCTCACTCTACTTTGGTTAAATTAAATTAGACAGAAATGGTACCCATGAGCGCCATAGACCTGGAATTATACACAACACCCAGGCCCAGGCAATCCCCAGCTTCCAGCACCCATCATTACTCCTAAGAGCCACCAACAACAGCCATCACTGGCTTATACATGTCACAGTGTAACCCACTGTGTCACACATTTTGCAGGCCTGATCCCATTCGATTCTCTCAACAGTTTCAGGAATTGGGCATGTCGTCCTTACTTCACAGATGGGGAAGTCAAGGCTCAAAGACATTAAGTTGCCCAGGATTACACAGTAAATGTAGGGCATTTACTATAGGGCACAGTAAATCGCAGGGCACCAGGTTCTCTGCCTCTTACTAGCTGTGTGATTTGGGGCAAGTCACTTAACCTCTTTGTACCTCAGCTTTCCCTTTTGTGAAATAAGGATATAACAGTTCCTACTGCCTGGGGTCACTGTGCACACAAATCACTTAGAACGGCCCCTGGATGGTTCAAGTGCCATCGTTAAACTGAGGCTCAGAGAGAAGTGAGTTTGAGCCCGAGCTTGCACAAACGGCAAGAGGCCGAATGGGCACCTGCAGCCTGGCCTTCAGACACGCCAGCCCCCGCCCCAGGACTCTCCCAGTTGGCCCTATACCCTTTATATTGAATCATGCCGGTTGCTTAGATCGGATCACTTGTAACCTGAGTTTGAGAAGTGAGGAAGTTTGCAGAGGGAATGTAGCCCACAGGTGACAGGAGTAATCACTGTGAGCCACTGTTTCCTAGTTCCAGCCCACGGAGGCTGGGATAGGACCAGTCCAAATGAATGGGAGACCTCAGACCCAGAGGTCAGGCTGAGGCACGGACCCGAAGCCAGGCAGCTCATGGCTGCCACGCATGCCCCTGGCCTCCCTTTCACGGTGCAGGAGTGCCCCCAAGGCCCCGGGGATGCTGGAAGTGACAGGGCTCTCGGATGCTCTCTGAAAACCTGAAAGCGTGGCCTGCAGCCACCATCTGGCCTGACTCAGGAGTCCCGAAGCCTGCATGTCAGGCACCTGGTTGTATAAGGCTCAAAAAAGTCACTCCAATTAACAGCTAAAAATACAGAGGGACATGTGATATGCGTGTCACCTGAGCCTGCGTGTCCCATTACACCAGCCAAATCCTCGAGAGCCTCTATGCGCTCTGAGCACGTGCCCCGAGCACGGGTGTCCATCAGGCCCGCCAGCAGCTCAGAGAGGCACCAAGCGCACCCACATCACCCACTCCTACCCACGCCAGGCCCCAGGCCAGGAGAGCCGAGCCCTTCTCTCAGCTGCATTCGCTGCTGTTTCTGAGCCCCCCCTGGCCCCAGGCACTGTTGTGAGAATTCTGCGTGGGTTATCCCACGTAACCCCCGGTGGCTGGCAGTGGCGGTGCCACCATCATCTTCCCCACCTTACAGATGAAGAAATTGAGGGGGTGGAGGAGCCAGAACTTTCTGTGCTGCCCTGACCTGGTTTCCAAAGCAGAGATGGAAGTGAGGGGCCCCCGTTCTGCCTGCAGCAAAAGCAGAATGAGGTTTTTGTGCTGTTGGCCATCATGGAACATGAAACAGCTTACCCATTTCCTATCAATAAACCAATATTGATTTTACAGGCTCTGTAAGATGTTGAAACAGGAAACTTTATAAGTGACATGATGGGCTTAGCAGGTGGCGTTGGAGGTTACTTCCAAAGTGCAGCAAGTTGGACTGTGAACAGTTTTTGCCGGGGGCTTGGGTAGAATTAATAGGAATAGTCTGGGGGTCCAAGTTGGGGTCCTGGCTCCCCACTGACAAATTCTCCATGTGACCTCAGTCAGGGAACTCACCTTCCCTGAGTGTTTTCTTTTCTGTAAATGGGACTTGGGACCCACTTCTATACCTGCCTCCTGTACCGTGAACACTCCTGGCCCTCAGCAGCCCCTCAGAGGGTACGGCAGGACCGAGCCCGGGGCCCAGAGGAGCGCTGCAGGGCTCCGTCTGCCCTCAGAGGTCCCAGCCAAGAGATGGTTCACACAGGTGCTGCTAAGCTCTTACTGTCCTCGTCCTGAGGCCGTGCACTCCTGTCTGTAACCATCGTTTCCCTCTGCTGAGTGTGCAGGAAGCAGCCTCAGCTCCCTCTTTTACACAGGGAAGCAGGAGTCACAGAGGCCTGCCGAGATTGCTCTGAGCAGGGCGGGCTGGCCTGGACCTCAGGCTGCCCATGTCCCCCGCATCCCAGCCTGGAGCTCTCATACCAGCCAGGCTGTTCTGTGTCAGTCTGTCTGTAGAGATGGACCCCTTGTCACAAGAACTGAGCCCAGAACATCCCAGGGAAGCTCACTTTGAAACTAATATAATGGCATTGATCTAGGACAACTCTGACTGGCCCCCAGCCCAAGATCAGGGTCACATGAACCAGGCTCTCTCCCGCTCCTGTGGGAACAGGATGCTGACCCTGTTTCCCAAGCCCTCCATCCATCCTGATGCATCTGGGGAATGCATGCCCCACCTGAAGGGGGCACCACTCCTCAGCCCAGTCCATGATTGCCCCCAAGAATGTGGGTCTAGCTGCCAGGGCCCCCAGTTTTTCATCAGGAGCCACCAGTGCAAATTGTTTACTTAAAGTCTCTTGCTGAATTGTTTAGAGAGCCAAACAAAATTCTGTAACCTCTGACCTAAGGATCTGATTTGATCCTTTGGGCCAGATCACCAAAAAACGGTAAAGAGGTGTGTTAGGAAAGGAGGAACTGTTGTTCTCATTCGGTGGCTGAGAGGCCAGGGCGTAGAGGGAGGGCGTGACTCGCCGCAGGGAGGGAGCGGAGGCAGGCCCTGGTCTCTCACCACGTGGGCCAGGAACAGACCTTCTGAGCTGGGGGTCGCCTCACTCACACCTCTGCCCCTGCCACCCACCGCGGGGCTCTCACCCGGGACCAGCTGCTCCGGCAGCAAGTCCTCCCTCGAAGAACCTCCTCTCGAGGGCCCTAGTGTCTTGGCCTTCACCTTGCTGCCACCAGTCCCTGCATGTAGTCACCACTGCAGCGTCATCACCATCACGCCACCACCGCCTCCCTGCCAGAGCCCACGCAGGGCCCTCACCTGGTGCATGGCCCTGGGGCGGGAGCCGCTCTGCAGCCCTGGGGTCTCTCTAATGCTGTGTCCATGATCCTCAGGGTGAACAGGGCCAGGCCGGCATCCAAGGCCCACCAGGGCCACCGGGCCCCCCTGGACCGAGTGGACCTCTGGGGCATCCAGGACTACCAGGGCCCATGGGACCACGTGTAAGTACCCCCTTCCTCTCTCCCCTGCCACCTCTTCTAAGACTTGTCCTAAGAATTCTCTGAAAGCATCCAAACTGTGTATAACCAACAGGAACCAGTGTCCCAGCTGAATGGTAAAAGCACCTTGGCAAAGCCATTGAACATGGGTGGCCCATGCGAGGAGCTGCCCTCTGGTTCTGAAAATACACCTCCCGGGGGCCGTGTCCTCAGGTCCAGTCATTACTGTCTCAGGGAAATCACTAACAGGCTGGCCACAACCTCAGCAAGAGGGAAGAGAGTTTGCAGGGCCACCTTTGATGGCTGCCCCTGACCCCTGGGCTTAAGAGAACCTGAGTTGGGGGCAGTGAGTTCTGACAAAGGTAGCAGGGGGTTGTCCCCGCAGCTGGCACCCCAACAAACACGCCTTTTCTGGTGCGTATAGGTTTCATGTTCCTAGGCCACCAGGTGGATGCCCGGTCAGCTGGGAGGGGGGCCCTGCACTGAGCTGGAGAATTGGCAGGGGCCCAGGGAGGCCAGCAGGCACCCCACCTCCAGGCAAGACCGTACGCAGCTGGGGCCACCAAGTCACCCACTTCCGAGCCCTGACTGAGACCCAACTCTTTCTCAGCCTGGTTCTGTTCGAGGAAGCGCCAGGGCAGGAGCGCAGCACAGCAGGCCCCTGGGCTGCCCTGGAGAACATGGGTTCCCTCCCCGGACCGGAGACCGATGTCACCCTTGGTGACGTTGGGAGAGAGAGGTGAAGGACGAAAATCGTTTAGTGATGTTTTCCCCACGTGGCTAAAAAACAAACAACCTTGTTTTCTTTCTCATGACTGAAACATCATACATTCATTATGAAAAATCTGATATATAGACGGAGTTTTAAATTTCCGATTCTCCCATATCCATCATTCACCATCATTCATGTTTTGGAGAGTCCTTTCAGTTTTCTCTTTAAATATAGCAGCACCGAAACCTTTCCGGGCTCCGAAGTCTGTATACCAGTTTGTCTCCAGTTCCTTTTTCACCCTGGGGCACGCCCTTTCCCACGTGGGAGTCTCCAACAGCTGGGTCTCGCAGCTGCCGGGCCTGTTAGAAAGTAGTGAACGAGTTCCCTCCTGCCATCTGTGTCCTTGGACAAAAAGCCTGCACCTCTCCGACTGTGCCCCTGGGACAGAGCCCCACAGGCGAAATTGCTGGGCTATCCTGCCCCTCCCAAATAGCCCTCAGCCAGTACAGTCGCATCCCAGGTCCCTGGGCTCCACCTCTGGGCCCTTGAGCTGCCCCAGCTGCCCATGCTGAGGCTCAGCACGGGGTCCCTCCAGGCTGGGCGGCAGCCGGGCTGCTAACACCCAGCTGGGCCGGAAGGTGGCACACCGGTGTGAAAACCTAGCTTGCTGGGGGTCTCGGCTGCCCTGCCCAGCTTGACCCCCCACCACGGATGTTAATATTTCTCCCCAGGACCCCAGGAAGGGAGGTTAGTCTCACTTTCATAGGTTGCTAGATGGAAACACGGAAAATCTGAAAGGAACTGAAATTTAGGGATTTGAACTAAACCAAGCTGAGACAACCAAAAAAGTGCTCAACATCCGCCTCTTTGCTGACTGCCCTTCCCCAAACACAGTGGGCTCCCACTCGCTGAGCCCAAGCCAGATGGTTTTCTTTGTTAGGTTTTTTATAAAGAAAAAAAACCAGAAAGTGTGTTTTTAAACCCACTGAAACAGACCAGACTGAGGCAGCACAGTTTTCCGCAGCCTGTGTCTGCCAACCAGACCCACCCCCCCAGCCCCCCAGCCCCCCCCCCCCCGCCACGGCCAGGACAGCCTCTTCTGGTCTCTCCCTCGGGCCCCGCAGGCCCTGGACCCACGCCACCTCCCGCTGCTGGCTGCCGTGGTCTCAGTGCCCTAGGAAAGGAGGCAGAGGGCTCCCCCTCGGACTGGCAAGGCCAAAGGCAAAATCATAACACTTCTGGGCAAGGTCTGCTTTCCAGGGAGGGGTCTCAATTAGGAGGTGGGCGGGTGGGGATCTGGACCAAACCACACTCTCAATTTCACATGATGCCACTGACCTATTTTCCAGTGGGCAAGCACAGGGGCGATGCCCACGGTACCCACATGGCTCCAGAGAGGGACATGCTGTCCCCGTGTGCCCTCGGCAGGTTCCAGATACCCTCCCGGGATTCTCTAGTCTGTTCACATCCAAACCCAGCACAGCTCTCCAAGCCCCGCTCTGCCCCAGCCTCCACTGTGAGCATGGCTCACCTCAACTGTTCACCCGTGGAATTCACCTCCGCTCACCTTTCTCTTGCTTCCGCAGGGCTTTCCTGGGCCTCCTGGACCAAAGGTGAGGGCCGGTCTGGGAGACGCACTGAGCGGATGGGAGAGTTCCCTGCAGGGGCGGGGCAGGCAGCACTGCAGGGCACAGTGGAGGAGCCGAGTGGGGGCTCCGCTGCCGAGAGGTGGGCCGTGCTTGGCTCATTCCCCAGCTGCCACCTTCCTGGGCCCTGAGTGCGTCTCACAAGGATCAAACCTTTGTGTGCTCAGCCATCCAAGTCCTCTGGCTGGTGGAAGGTGCGGTCCCATCTCCAAGCGGGGATCTTACCGTCTAGTTTGAAACGGAAGGTCGACACTCAGGGTGCTGTTACAACCTCCCAGTAAAAGGGTGTTTCATGAGGGGGTTAGAACTAGAAGGGACCTTCGGGGTCATCTGGTCTCTTCTGAAACCCTATCTGGCAGCTCTTGATGTCAAACCAACTCTCCTTTTGAAGCTGAGGGACCCTCGGGCTCTGAGGATAAGTTGCAAAGCCCACCCATTTTACAAATGTGGACGCTGAGGGTCGTGGGGTAAAGTGCTCTCCAGAAAGTCAGTGGTAGAACCGAAACGGAAGTTCAGGCCTCCAGGCGAGTCAACCCTTCCCACCACCGCTCTGTCTCCACAAAGCAGGGGCTTGTTCTGAGCAGCAGAACGGCCTCTGTCCTGGTGCCAGGGGCGGTGGGGGGTGGCGGTCCGGAGGATTTAGAGGTGGGGAGGGAGAAGGATGGGAACGTGAAGGGAACAGCCGGAGCTGGGGCTCGGCATTCGGGAAACCCCTCTCAGCGTCCTCTCTTTGTTCCCACAGGGAGACCCCGGCATCCAGGGCCACCACGGCCGGAAGGTAAGAAGCGGGGAGGGAAAGACCTCGCCCCCTGCGGTAACCCAAGTGGATGTCTCACCATGGTGTACACAGTGTTTTGCACCCACACTCACCCAGCATGAGCCTCATAATGCTTGTGAAGGGGGATGGGCAGGGGTCATGTCTCCACTTGGGGGAGCAGGAGGCTGAGGGGGGGCAGGGCCTTGAGCAAATCAGCAGTCCAGCCAGACCTCTGCGGCTGTATCTGTAGCACGGTGCCTCAGATCCTCCAGGCAGAACTCTGGACTGAGCGTGGTTGGGAAAACAGGGGTAGGGTCCCAGCCCTTCTCTCTGGCAGCTCCCAGACCAGAGAGACGGAATTCCTACACAAATAACCCTGGTGAAGGCAGGCTGCGCTCGCTGCTACCATCACAAAGTGCCGTGTGAATACGGGGTTGGAGAGGTTAATTCCGGGCTGGCAGGAATTTGGGAAATCTTCTGGGAGGCGAGAGCCTATGAGCTCAGATCTGGTGAATGGGTAGGTGTATCAGTTATCTATTGCTGTGTAACAAACCATCCCAAATTTACTGACTTGAAATGACAGCTTGTTTCACGTGGTTCTGTGGATTGGACATCCGGTAGTACCATGGGTCTCCCCTGGTCTCACTCTCGAAGTCACATTAGGTGATGGATGGAAAGGTCAGAGGGGCCAGGGCAGCTGCATCCTCATGTCTGGTGATTGGCGCCGGCTGCGGGCGGGGTGCCTGCTCTCCTCCCCTCGGCCTCCAGGCCCCCAGTGGACTAGACAGGCTCCCTACAGCATGGTGGGCCCAGGGCGGCGTCCAAAATGGGCAAGTCTCGGTGCACTTGCATCACATTTTCTGATGCCTCATTGGTCAAAGCAAGTCACGTGGCCAAGTCGTGTGGAATGGGGAGGAGGGTCAGCTTCCGCTTGTTTTTGTGGAACAAGTGGCAAAGCATTTGTGGCCATTTTAAATCACCACAGTGGTCCTTCCATCAGCGATGTCAAGGGAAATGGGGTTTTCGACAGGGAAACAATGCATTACCTCGGCCCCGGGGGTGGTCGTGACAGTAACTACAATGACGTCAGAATGATCTTAGTAAAAGTCACCACTCGATGAATGTTGCCAGGCTGTCCTTCAAAGTGGCCTGCATTATTTCTGATCCTAGGACCGTCTTAACAGGCTGGTGCTATTCTTCTGCTTACAAATGAGGAAACTGAGGCATGCCCACAGTCCCTTGGCTCATAAGTGACAGGGCAGGAATGCATGTCCAGGCCTGGGCCCTTCCCAGGGTACCACCTCCTACAGGCGGGGAAGCCCCTAGAGCCTTGCTTCCAGGAGAAGGGCAGGAGGCAGGAAGGAAAGAAGGACGCGGAGTGGGGGGGGGGGGTTGGAAGGGGAAGAATCGCTCCTGAGAAGCACGTTACTCCGAGTGCGCTAATCCGGCCGCTGCCGTGACCCCATTGTTTTATGGGTGTTTGGTGGGTGAAATGGTGAGACCTGAGAATTCTGTAATTAGTTCTGCATAAACTGAGAAGTTTGTATTGTGTCAGGAAGTGGAAATTATAGCCCCCGCGGCTGCCTCCATCCACTCACACAGACTCACAAAATTTACTGCCTTCTGGAGCGGAGCAGGGTCGGTTTTCCCATTAGCAGCCACGCCAGCTCTTTCAAGGTGTGAAAAAACTGCAGGGCCAGCCAAGGTTTCCCTGGGATCGTGGTGATCCTAGCATCCACACCACGGCAGTGCCTGCGTTCTGCCACCCGGGGGTCTGGTCTATCCGGAAAGAGCTTGGGCTCTGGTGTCCTCAGAGGGCTCAGTGTGGGGCCGGAGTGTCATGATGACAGGGGCCTGGTCCCATGAGTGTGGCAATCCTGGGCTCAGACTTGGGGCGAATCATTCAACCCTGACTGTGTTGAATTTGCGGAGAAAACCAGTGTGGTCTTGCTGACAGAGGGGCAGCTCCCACCCCCCGGGAAGCCCACTCTGGGGAGAAAAGACCCCGGGCTGGCTGCCAGAGAAGGCTCCAGCAGGAAGGGCCAGTGTGCTTCTTCTGCATGGCAAGGGGCAGAGCAAGCGCTGATGGTTACCTTTGGAGGGCGGGAGCTCCCTGTTACCGGAAGTGTTCCGGCAGAGGCTGGATAACTGGGGGTCTGGCACGCGTTGAGAAGCTTCTGTATCTGATGATGGACGACTGGGTTAAAATCCCTTCCAGCTCAGGGAAGCTCCAGCTTCCTGCAGACAGAGTTGGCTCCACACCCCTTAGGGAAGAGCAGCCCTGGCTTTGGAAGGAGTCTTGGTCTCCTTGAGTCTTGTCCAGCTCCTCCTTTACCCATAGCCGATCTTGTCACAGTGTCACCACCTCCGGGTCTCATGGGGAACTGAGAAGGCCCTTCATCTTTGTGCTCGGCTATTGCTCGCCCCCCTTTCCTTTCCTGGCCGGACCCCCAACCCTGTCCTTCCACAGCAGCCTCTCGTGGGATCAGCAGCCTCTCGTGGGATGTGCAGCGGCCCAGTGGTCTCTCTCGCCGCCTCTCAGGGTTTCTGGAAGGCTCCCACTGCCTCCACTTCTCCCAGCGTGTCCTTGAGTCTTGTCAAGAGGGGCTCCTGGAGCCACCGTGTGGCCTCAGTGCCCTCCCCTCTGTGCCGGCTCTCACTCTGCTGGGACGCTTATCTGTCGTCACCTCAGCCACAGCCTCCTCATCCAACCAAGCCCAGAGGGTGTGCACTGAGCACTGATGGCCAGCAGCAGAGGGCTGGCCCCTACTGGCCTGGGGTCATTCCTTCAGGTCAGGCAACCCTCAGGAGGCTCCATGTGCCGCCGGGGCCGTGGGCGAGCCTGGGCTCCAGTGATCACCACACCCAGGCAGAAGTCTGCTTCCCATCAGAACTCTGAGATGAAGAGACTGGCGCCCGAGGACAAGTGCAGCGACACTTTACATCTCTGTTTTAGCCAAAGGTCGTTCACTCCCCGCCTCTCTCAGTCCTCACCATGGCCCAGCTCATTATCTTCACTGTCCAGATGAGCTCAGAGAGGTTAACACCTTGTCCAGGGTTGCACAGCTGGTGAACAATCCTCCGGAATTGGAAGCTAGGTCACACCGGCCTGAGCCCAGAGGCCAGCCTGCTTGCCCTGGTGCAGAGCGCGTGTCTCCTCAGGGGCTCTCACCCGGGCTGAGCTCACTGTGCAGAGACCGCTGTCCTCTGTGTGCTCTGGCATGTAAAGGGTTCTTCCTGCAAGCACCCTTCCTTGGTCCATCATTTCTGTTTCTCTCCTCTCCTCTCTGTCTCTGCTTGGAGTGAGGCGTGGCAAGGAGGCGCCGATAGGAAGGGTGGCCTGATTCCAGGAGCTGAGACGAGTTTGCGCCCCACCCCAGAGAGAAATGAGCGCTGGCAGGTGGGAACACAGCGCTGGGACAGGGGTCAGACTTCAAGGAGGACCTGGGCAGTAACCAAGGGACCCTCCACATCAGCTGCGCACCAGCGATGTGACACCCGTGCAGGGAGCCTTTCTTTCAGCATGGGCTGGGATTTAACTCTCAGCAAAGACGTTTCTCAGCTGTGAACTTTGTTAATGATAAGCTCCACCCACCTACCACCACCACCACCACCCCAGCAACTGGACCCAACCTGGCAGCCTCCCAGAGGCCAGCCCCGGGGGCAGGGCAGGCTTCTCCACCAGCTCCTCAGGATCGAAGCCCAGTGTGGCCGCAGGCCCCATAAGGGCCAGCCCCGCTGCCTGGATGCTGCGAGCATTGTTGTGTACCCATGTGGTACCTATTTGGTCCAAATTTATGGCACCAATCCACTTTAAATATGTTGCAAGACGCAAAATGTGTTTAAAACATTGCAACCTTGGCTTTCTTTCAAGAGGATTGACGAGCATTGTCAGACTATGTGAACACAAATCTGGTGAGAGCTTATCTCTAAGCAGGACAGAGCTGGTCCGTCTGTCTCAGCGGTGGGGGGTGCCTTCGATGCATGTGGCGCTCTGGGTGTTAAGCCTCCGGGTTTGCATGGAGGACTGTGGCTCAGCCCACATCCCCTTCCTGCTCAGGGCTGTGCGTTTTCAGACCAGAGGAGGCGGGATGTGAGAACTTCATGCTAGGGCAGCTAGAGCTGCAGTGACCCCTCCTGGGGGCTGCAGGGCTCCCCAGAAACAAGGGAGGAGGTCCGATGGGCCCTATGCTTGGGACACTGGGGTGAAAGTGTAAGGAGCAGAAGCTCACCCAGCCAGCCCCTCTGGATCCCCCTTTTCTGGCCATGCTGGTCCTCCTCCTCACCGCTCCTCAGCTCTTCTGCATAAGGGCGTGTTCATTCTGATCTGCCAGTCAGGGCCGGGGCCCCGTGGATGGACACACTTCTGTAGAATGATAATTAGTATTATAGCTAATTTGTGGGGCCTCTTCAACATGCCAGTTTGATTATGTGGCACTTTGCATACACCGCCTTACTAGGTCTTTATAACAACCCTGTGAGGTAGATTTTGTTCTTATCCCTGATGGACAGATGAGCAAAGTGAGGTTCACAGAGGTGAACCCCCAAAGGTCCACAGCCAGTAAGAAGTGAAGTCAAGTCTGCCTGACCCTAAAGCCTTGCTCCAAATGACTACTATCTGGGTCTCAGGAGCCCTGGGGGTCCCCGTGATTTCTAGTAAGCAGCACCCCCTCCACTAGAAGGAAAGGAGGTGAGTATTGAGCTGTTTTCCTCCGTGTGAGAAAAAGATCGTGACTGGATTTGGGCCTTTCCCTGAGCCTCCAAGGCTCTCTGTGGGCAGCGCCTGGAGCACCTAAGGCAGAGGACATGAGGTACTTAGTGCATTTTAGTCAGAAACCAAGGAAGTGCAGTGTTTTTCTCGTTGGCACCGATTTCACCTGAATGATCCCTGCGGGGAGTCGGCATGGTCCCAGGACTTCCGGTGAAGCCAGGAGAAGGCAGCTTGTCTCAGCCCAACGCTGCAGCTCTTCCCAAAACGTCCCTGCACCCCTCTGGCTCCCAGAGGGCCCAGCAACCCCCGG